AGCAGCGATGGTTAACTGCTTTTGTACAGGTTACCACCATAAAAATTTTGTGAAATTTGAAGCCTCCTGTTGTGCTAAAATATTAAAACAAGCCTGAAATAGTTTCAAAACTTCGCTTTGATCTGGACCTGTAAAAGCCAATTTTCCGACTATTCGCTGCTGCTGGTGCTGTTACGAGCCGTAGAAGGAACAAGCTTATTTAGTAAGCTCGAATTTTTCTCTTGTCGAAATTTCATAAGCATCGTGGCAAAATTTTTCAGATCAGGGGCTCAATACCGCTGTTTTGGTCGCAGAAACCGAATCTTCGGTGGCAGCCTGAACCTGTTCTAAATCCCACTGATGATCAAACGGAAGCTTATAAGCGACATATGATCATGCAGCAGCATGTTTATGGAGGAAAACTTGTAAGATCCTAAAAAATTAACTTTTTTGGGGGGCTTCGTCGGTGTTTGGGTGAATTAGCTTAACTTGCAGCAGTCAAAATAAATTCAAATTCTTAATTCAATTCAAGTTCAAAATCTTGAAAATTCATTAAAAAATTGAAAATTCAAAATAAATTCATGAACTGTGAAGTTATTTTTTTTTTCTAGGTGATTGTTAATTTGGTAAATCAAAGGGGACGGGAAAAACGTGTTGGTGGCGAGCTGGATCGAGTCGTTCTTCGAGCCCATTTGGATTTTGTGAGGTACTCGGAAAATTTCTTCCTCTAAAACACGCTAAGGCTAATTGTACTGATCTATAGGTAGATCTGTAGTACACCTTTCTTGGTCCTTGGTCCTTTAACACTGCTGAAAAATCTTTATTGTGACTACAGTGACAACACTTTTTACCAACAGCATTCCTTTTGGAGATTATTCGACAGCTACGTTAACTGTGCAGGAGGCAGTACTTGCTCAGAAGATGTAACATTCCCCTAAAAGTTCAGCTGTCTAGCCTTCCCGATTCCCGAGTTAGTAATTTTCCCACCAAATCTTTCACATGTTCATAGATGGATAGCCCAGGTACTTG